ATACTGATATAACCTGAACATCAGCAGGAGAGGACTCTTTACAAGTAGAGACACTTACAATACTGATATACACCTGAACATCAGCAGGAGAGGACTCTTTAAAGTAGAGACACTACATACTGATATACACCTGAACATCAGCAGGAGAGGACTCTTTAAAGTAGAGACACTACATACTGATATACACTCTGAACATCAGCAGGAGAGGACTCTTTAAAGTAGAGACACTACATACTGATATACACCTGAACATCAGCAGGAGAGGACTCTTTAAAGTAGAGACACTACATACTGATATACACCTGAACATCAGCAGGAGAGGACTCTTTAAAGTAGAGACACTACATACTGATATACACCTGAACATCAGCAGGAGAGGACTCTTTAAAGTAGAGGACACTACATACTGATATACACCTGAACATCAGCAGGAGAGGACTCTTTAAAGTAGAGACACTACATACTGATATACACCTGAACATCAGCAGGAGAGGACTCTTTAAAGCAAGTAGAGACACTACATACTGATATACACCTGAACATCAGCAGGAGAGGACTCTTTAAAGTAGAGACACTACATACTGATATACACCTGAACATCAGCAGGAGAGGACTCTTTAAAGTAGAGGACACTACATACTGATATACACCTGAACATCAGCAGGAGAGGACTCTTTAAAGTAGAGACACTACATACTGATATACACCTGAACATCAGCAGGAGAGGACTCTTTAAAGTAGAGACACTACATACTGATATACACCTGAACATCAGCAGGAGAGGACTCTTTAAAGTAGAGACACTACATACTGATATACACCTGAACATCAGCAGGAGAGGACTCTTAAAGTAGAGACACTACATACTGATATACACCTGAACATCAGCAGGAGAGGACTCTTTAAAGTAGAGACCACTACATACTGATATACACCTGAACATCAGCAGGAGAGGACTCTTTAAAGTAGAGACACTACATACTGATATACACCTGAACATCAGCAGGAGAGGACTCTTTAAAGTAGAGACACTACATACTGATATACACCTGAACATCAGCAGGAGAGGACTCTTTAAAGTAGAGACACTACATACTGATATACACCTGAACATCAGCAGGAGAGGACTCTTTAAAGTAGAGACACTACATACTGATATACACCTGAACATCAGCAGGAGAGGACTCTTTAAAGTAGAGACACTACATACTGATATACACCTGAACATCAGCAGGAGAGGACTCTTAAAGTAGAGACACTACATACTGATATACACCTGAACATCAGCAGGAGAGGACTCTTTAAAGTAGAGACACTACATACTGATATACACCTGAAACATCAGCAGGAGAGGACTCTTTAAAGTAGAGACACTACATACTGATATACACCTGAACATCAGCAGGAGAGGACTCTTTAAAGTAGAGACACTACATACTGATATACACCTGAACATCAGCAGGAGAGGACTCTTTAAAGTAGAGACACTACATACTGATATACACCTGAACATCAGCAGGAGAGGACTCTTTAAAGTAGAGACACTACATACTGATATACACCTGAACATCAGCAGGAGAGGACTCTTTAAAGTAGAGACACTACATACTGATATACACCTGAACATCAGCAGGAGAGGACTCTTTAAAGTAGAGACACTACATACTGATATACACCTGAACATCAGCAGGAGAGGACTCTTTAAAGTAGAGACACTACATACTGATATACACCTGAACATCAGCAGGAGAGGACTCTTTAAGTAGAGACTCTACATACTGATATACACCTGAACATCAGCAGGAGAGGACTCTTTAAAGTAGAGACTCTACATGCTGATATACACCTGAACATCAGCAGGAGAGAACTCTTTAAAGTAGAGACACTACATACTGATATACACCTGAACATCAGCAGGAGAGGACTCTTTAAAGTAGAGACACTACATACTGATATACACCTGAACATCAGCAGGAGAGGACTCTTTAAAGTAGAGACACTACATACTGATATACACCTGAACATCAGCAGGAGAGGACTCTTTAAAGTAGAGACACTACATACTGATATACACCTGAACATCAGCAGGAGAGGACTCTTTAAAGTTCAAAGATAAGGTTTAATAAAGTGTTTATGAGGTTTTATGAACATGAAATGCCAGAAAGAAAATGAAAAGGGTTGTGTGTTGAACTTAAGTTGGATTTATAAAGAGTCAAACCAGGACAGGAGTTGACGGGAAGAAAGCACAACCAGCTATAATCTGTTTATCATGAACCGCCCAGCGACCTCTCAGCTTCCTATGCGCACACACACACACACACTCACTACCCATGATGCACCAGGGACCCAGCGCTGCGTTCAGGTGCAGCGCGGCACTCACCTGCAGCGTCTCGATCTGCTTTCGGATGCTGTTGTTAGACGGCATCTGCAGCGAGGCGCCGTGAGAGGAGACAGAGTGGAGGTGGAGGGGGGACACATGCACGTTAAAGAAAAACTAAACAAACATGTCAGTGAGAAACAGACATACACAACGGACTGTTGATGAGCAGTTAGAGGCATGAGAGGACGTCCTGATCAGAGACTTTGATATTTATTCATATTATAAATTATTATTAAAAAAATTAAATACCTCTGCATTGCATTTAGAAAAAAATATTACGGGCATTTTCTTTATTTTTTATAAAACGACAAATCCTCTGTAATCTTCGTTCTTAACTTAAATAAAAAAATATCTAAAAAAAGTTCGAACATTTGAGATTTTCAGAAAAAAGTCAGAATTTTAACATTTTCAGAAAAAAGTCGGAATTTTAACATTTTCAGAAAAAAGTCGGAATTTGGACATTTTCTGAAAAAATAGATAATTTTGAGGTTTCAAAACAAACCCAAAATGTTGCGATTTACTGAACATGTTTTGAGAATTTCCATGCAAAAAAAGATTCTGAGATTTTCAGAAAAAAGTAAAAACTTTAAAATAAACATTATTTTGATATTTTCTGAAAAAAATCAAAATTGTGCAAAAATATCTAAAAATAACAAACCGTCTGTAATCTTTGTTCTTAATTTTTTATAATCAATATTTATTGATTAATTCTTGGAATTAAAATGGCACAATTTAGTCGTATTGTGGTCCTTCTTTTGTGGGAATTACATTAATAAATGCTTATTATACACCATGCACTAAAACACTACTACCTACTCAGCTGATATTGTCGTGGTCACATAACCAGGTAAAAAACTGATATTAAGAGTCTTAGAGTTCACTGACGGTGGCACTCGCAATGAAGCTAGGTTATAAAATGCATTGATCAGACATCCCCATCATGCCGGTAATAAAACAGTCCATTTGTATTTCAACATAATTCAACATATAGTGAGAATTTAAAAGTGAAACAAAGCAGAAAGGAGGTGTGCTGTGGTTTAAATGAGACACAGAGAGAGGAGAAGACGTACGGGACATTTAGAGAGGGAATGGAAAAAGGTGGGAAATAAATTAAAAAGAAAGAAAGATGTTTCAGGTCCAGAGCGGACAGCGGAGGAATCATCAGATCCACGAGAAACTCAAACACCGATTCATTTATTTAACCCTGTGGAGCCACACAATAGTTGAAGCCATGTTTTAATAAAGAGGCATCCAAGGGGTTAAAATCACTGGTTGGAAAGGAAGCCCTGAATTACTGAAATCATCACTACCCTCAAAAATCATCACCATCTCATTTCACCATTTTCATTTTAAGATCAAACCCATGATTACGACGTGAAGGAGAACCAATCACTGAGGAGACAGACAGCCATTTCAATGAATACAAAAAACCACCATAACAAAATCTGAAACCTATCCACCACGAGATCACACAACCTGCAGGAGGGAAATCACTGAGGAGGAGGAGGGTTAGGAATGATTCTGTGTAATCAGATTACAAGGGGCGAGATCCAACAGCACTTGAGATAATGCTAATGATTTATAGAGTAGAGCAGGGATGTGGTATTTCTTTGTTGGTCCCTGAAGGCAGCATCTCCCTGGTCCAATGGGATCTCTCCATTTGATTTTGGATTATTGTCAGAAAATAATCTCTGTGTCAAACAAACGTTTCTGATACTTTTAGTTCACAGGATAATGTCCACATATGAACACCTCTTTCTGAAGTAAGAAGCTAACGCTAGGCTATAAAGGAACTACAGCACGGTCACATGACTTCACGTCACCACCGCTAAGCTAAAGGAGGCTAATGTTGGGCTATAAAGGAACTACAGCACAGTCACATGACTTCACGTCACCACTGCTAAGCTAAAGGAGGCTAATGTTGGGCTATAAAGGAACTACAGCACGATCACATGACTTCACGTCACCACCGCTAAGCTAAAGGTGGCTAATGTTGGGCTATAAAGGAACTACAGCACGGTCACATGACTTCACGTCACCATCGCTAAGCTAAAGGTGGCTAATGTTGGGCTATAAAGGAACTACAGCACGGTCACATGACTTCACGTCACCATCGCTAAGCTAAAGGTGGCTAATGTTGGGCTATAAAGGAACTACAGCACGGTCACATGACTTCACGTCACCACCGCTAAGCTAAAGGCGGCTAATGTTGGGCTATAAAGGAACTACAGCACGGTCACATGACTTCACCATCGCTAAGCTAAAGGTGGCTAATGTTGGGCTATAAAGGAACTACAGCACGGTCACATGACTTCACCATCGCTAAGCTAAAGGCGGCTAATGTTGGGCTATAAAGGAACTACAGCACGGTCACATGACTTCACCACCGCTAAGCTAAAGGTGGCTAATGTGGGCTATAAAGGAACTACAGCCCGGTCACATGACTTCACGTCACCACCGCTAAGCTAAAGGAGGCTAATGTTGGGCTATAAAGGAACTACAGCACGGTCACATGACTTCACGTCACCACCGCTAAGCTAAAGGAGGCTAATGTTGGGCTATAAAGGAACTTACAGCACGGTCACATGACTTCACGTCACCACCGCTAAGCTAAAGGCGGCTAATGTTGGGCTATAAAGGAACTACAGCACGGTCACATGACTTCACGTCACCACCGCTAAGCTAAAGGAGGCTAATGTTGGGCTATAAAGGAACTACAGCTCGGTCACATGACTTCACGTCACCACCGCTAAGCTAAAGGCGGCTAATGTTGGGCTATAAAGGAACTACAGCTCGGTCACATGACTTCACGTCACCACCGCTAAGCTAATGTTGGGCTTGATGGCGTTTAGTCGTCTCATTTAGACACTTGTTTTTAATCCACCAGTGTGGTATACTATTTATCGACTTATTTTATGTCGTAGAATTTAAATCTCTTCAGCTCGTGTTAACCACAGACCTTATTTCAGGATAACAACCAAAAACATATTCAGAAAACCATTGACCTCCAGACCAGGGGACAGGAAGTGAGAAAATGCCAAGTCATGTTTGGGTTTAAGGACTCAATTTCAGTTTCTTCCCACTTATTATATTTTTGTATACATTAAATCAAGTGCTGTTCATGTTGGGGGGGAAGGGGGTACATTATGATCTTTAGCCAGAACCACAGAGCACACCCTGCAGTCAGAGCACCGTCACACCAAAAACAGAACATTTATTTTGAAGTTTCATGACAAGAAGCTCGAGATTCCTTCGATTTACGCAGAGAATAAAGTAATCGTCATAGTGCAGTATTTCTCAGTGATCAGGGGGGGTTGGGGTACCTTGAGGTGCGACAGGCAGTTCTGCAGGAAGATGTGCCAGTTGTTGAGGAAGAACTGTTTCTGACTGACACACAGGAGGCAGGTCACCAGTGGGTAGAGAGCCTGCAGAGACACAGAGGAACATACAGCCATAAACACTGAGAAATCTAAAACCCGCACACCTCATAACGATCCCGTCAACATGTGTTCAAAGAGGACAAGCAGCATGTTCTTCCTCGAAGGTCAGGAGACGTCCATTTCCTTTTTTACCACTGTCTATATTAATTTACCACATTGGGAAACACTAGAAACACAAACCATAAAACACAACAATGCTAAAAAAAACGATACATAGCATGGCATCAGGTAAATTAAAGCACAACACATAATGGTACCGAGTATAATAACGTAATAATAATAATCCTTATATTTATTATAGCGCTTTATCAATGACTCTCAAAGCGCTTTACAAATACACATTACACATACAGATCATACATGTAATGGTCATCTACTGTGGACAATACCCAGAGGAGCACATTCGGGTGAAGTGTCTTCAAGGACACACCGGCCTGACGCAGTGGGGCGGGAGCGGGTTTCGACCTGGAGTTCCCCAATGATCAAACGCACAGACCACTGCGCCACCCGTCCCTTAAATATACATGGAACTCATACATATCCTACATTTTGTATTTTCTTTTAAATATCAAAAAAGAATAACGGTATATTTACGAGATAAAAAAAACAGGATACCGTCTGATATAAAAATTGTAAATAAATAAATCTGGATAAACAATCCACGAATAAAAGGATATTCTCTGAGACAAATAAATAAAGTGATAGACTTGCGGGAAACAAAAATAAAACACGTATGAGAAAAATAATAATTTCCAAGATGTCGGTGATATGATTAAGAGGAAAAGCTCATTAAACACAAATTGTTATGGCAATGATGGCATTAAAGCTTAACACAGGCCGTTCCTCAATCTCGAGGATACTGGCTTCCAAGCCAATATTTCAAGGATGCTACGTCATCGAGTGCCGCCGAAGGACTGTTCCAATCTCCAGCATACTTGGAATTCCACCGAGGCCGCGTCCTTGGTTTGGGGGTCATTTCGAGGCTGCACATGGGTAGACTTCGCGTCCTTAAAATCCCCACAATGCTTTGCACACGGACCAATTTCCCCAAATCTGTGGCGGAAGATGTAAGGCGGGGCCTCTCATATGACGCACACTTGCTCGCCTGTTCCACTCTTCGTTTTCCGAATGCCAGGAAGGATTCTTGCCTCGCTTCTGAAGCAAGTGACTCGGAAGACATGTGCTACCAAGGAAGCATCCTCGCGATTGAGAAACGGCCACAGTGTAATCCTAAAAGTAACGGCTGCATCCTGAGAATGTCATGTAAATGTATTGAGTGATAAACAGAAGGGGGTTTTATGACACCACAGGAAGAGAGGAGGAGTGGAAGGAAGTTACGATTAAGGGTTATCTGTGTATGCCATTCTTCTTTGTAGGGTGTGAGTTTTAGCAAACAGTGTTGTGCCATGAGGCGAACCATCTGGCCTCACATGATTGAGGAATGAAATGTCAATAACCTTTGATGTCTTCCTATGAGGAGGGTCTGCTTCACACAGAACAGGGCACTCTCTTTGTGGAGGTGTCTCACTGCACCCTTCGCTGCGAGGGGCACCCAAGTTCCCATCAGCAGAAACACGTGGGTTTGCTGTCCTGGCTCCAAGATGGTGGAATGAGCTCCCCATTGACATCAGGACAGCAGAAAGCTTACACATCTTCCAGACTGAAAACTCATCTCTTTCGACTCCACTTCCAGCGATAGAACTATTAACAAAGCACTTATATACTAATAAAGGACTGGCTTATCTAAAGCTAGTTGAGTAGCACAGCTTCATCCCGCAGGCAATAAGACTGTTAATTACATGACATGTTACTCGCTTTTCTCCAAAGCGACTCACATACTCAGTACTGTGGACAATCCCCACAGGAGCACTTTGGGGTGAAGTGTCTCAGGGACACAACGACATGCTGACTGCAGAGGGGTTTGAACCTGAGACCCCCTGGTCCCAACACCAACGCACTACCCACTGCGCCACACGCCTCCCCTTGTTAAACAACTGAACTGCTGAAACTATTTCATAACATTCATCTGCCACTTAGTAATTATTTATCTATTGTCTAATATATCATTCCAATAGCTTGTATATAGACTCGTATCGCACTATTCCACTTTTTTTATAAACCATTTTCTTTTTGTATTACTTTATAATATACTTTAATATTGTTTTAATATTGTCTGCTATCTGTATTATTGTGTTGCATTGTGGGAGAAGCCTGTGACCTAAGATTTTCAACGACATAATTACTCTGTATGTTAGTTTGACAATAAAGAACCTTGAAATGTTTGGCTCTATGAAACCTGATGTACTTCTGTTGTCTTCAAGTTCCTGGTCGAATGCACTTATTGTAAGTCGCTTTGGATAACGGCGTCAGCTAAATGTAATGAAGATCTTAAGTTGCTACGACAACATCTAGAATTGTCTTTGGGATTATATATAAAAGAATATATTAGCAAGAAGATTCTTTCTGTGATTAAAGTGAAAAGATTATGAGAGAAAACTCCTTCTTTTGTCAAGTAGCCGAATGGCTCCACTTCATGTGATTTCCTCCCGTGCCCTACATCCCAGAATAACCCACAACGGCCCTAATGAGGCTTTGTGCATCATGAACTAACAATGAGGTTTATTTGTGCAGAAACATGGTGGGTGGTGATGACAGCTGGGTCTGAATGAAATACAGGAAGAGAGAAACAGGAAGCAGAGAAGCTGCAGGGAGGGCGGGGAGGAAGAGAGGACATAATGAAATGTAAATATTACCAGCGAGTGCTTCTTTCTGGAGCTCAGGTCGAAGGTCGTCTGGTACAACATCTCCACGAAGTTCTTTAGGCACGGCACGTTCACCTCGTTCTTCACCGCCTGCACACACAACATGGAGGGTCAATATCAACATTTGTTTATTTTGTTTATTCCACACATGGCAGTTATTTTAAAGGAGACATGTCATGCTTTTCTGGTTATCACCCGTCTCCTTGTAGGTTGTAGGTTTTTCTGCATGTAAACGGTGTGCAGAGTCAAAACCCTCAAAGTGCACCCTGTAGCGAGTAAAACTCTAACACAGAGAAGACCTCCCCAAAACGCCTCGTTGGTGAAACGTCATCATCCATTTGATTACGAGATTACGTAAGCACGTACCCGGAACCAAATGGACCAATCCGTGGAGCCGTTATGTTACGTCCGCGGAGCCGTTACGTTAATCCCCCGCTGATTGGTCCAAATTGACCAATCCACGGACTTCCTCACACACTCAGTGCATGCAGCTCTGCTGATCTCTCCTCCCTGGCTGCAGGCTGATAACAGACAGTTGGGATCGCGTGAAATTACTCTGCAGACCCTTCTCTCTGCAGACCCATTCTCTCTACAGACCCGTTCTCTCTACAGACCCGTTCTCTCTGCAGACCCGTTCTCTCTAGACCCGTCTCTCTACAGCCGTTCTCTCTGCAGACCCGTTCTCTCTACAGACCCGTTTCTCTCTACAGACCCGTTCTCTCTACAGACCCATTCTCTCTACAGACCCATCTCTCTCAGACCCTCCACTGTACCGTTCTCTCTGAGACCCGTTCTCTCTACAGACCCGTTCTCTCTGCAGACCCGTTCTCTCTGCTTGCTACGACCCGTTCTCTCTGCAGACCCTTCTCTCCGACCTTCTCTCTGCAGACCCGTTCTCTCTACAGACCCGTTCTCTCTGTTCAGACCCGTCTTCTCTGCAGCCCGTCTCCACGTTCTCTCTCTGCCGACGCGTTCTCTCACAGACCCTTCTCTCTGCAGACCCTTCTCTCTGCAGACCCGTTCTCTCTGCAGACCCGTTCTCTCTACTGACCCTTCTCTCTGACCCTCTCTCTCTGCAGACCCGTTCTCTCCCGCTCCCCGTTCCTCTACAGACCCTTCTCTCTGCAGACCCTTCTCTGACCCTTCTCTCAGACCCATTCTCTCTCGCAGCCCCATTCTCTCTGCAGACCCATTCTCTCTGCAGACCCGTTCTCTCTCTCTCTGCAGACCCATTTCTCATACCATTCTCTCTACAGACCCATTCTCTCTGCAGACCCATTCTCTCTGCAGACCCATTCTCTCTGCAGACCCATTCTCTCTGCAGACCCATTCTCTCTGCAGACCCATTCTCTGCAGACCCATTCTCTCGCAGACCCATTCTCTCTGCAGACCCATTCTCTCTCCGCAGGACCCATTCTCTCTGCAGACCCATTCTCTCTGCAGACCCATTCTCTCTGCAGACCCGTAATCTCTACAGACCCGTTCTCTCTACAGACCCGTTCTCTCTACTGACCCATTCTCTCTGCAGACCCATTCTCACAGCGTTTATCAACCCTTTTCTTACTCAATATCAAGCCACACTTATTGTTTTTACTTCGGCTGTGACTTTGTGTGTGCTCAGGGTGAGTTTGGCTGTGTATCGCTAAACAAGGAAACCACACCTCCACGGAGCTCAGCGCGATTCACAACGTCCCGACCAATCAGAGCACACTGTGCTCACAGGGAGGGTGGGGGCTGGAGCTATTGGAGCTACAACGAGCCGCTGAAGGCAGAGAGTGAATACACATACTTTACAGAGATGCTGTGAGAAACCAATGTGAGTTTGGAAAATTGCACGGTATACATCTATTCTAGTCGACCTCAACAATGGAATTATGATCAGTGGAAATGGCCATGACATGGGACCTTTAAAACATGTTCACTTATACTGGTTGTTTTTATTTTCTAATAGCGCATGGTGGAAAGGAGCAGGGAGAAGAACATCTTATTTGACCTGCCCCTTCTTAAAAATAAGTAAAATGAAAGCAACATTCTTTCAGTCGCTTACAAATACTGAAACATAAAACCAGACCACCTTCACACTGTCTCATTACGCTTTCTCTATACATGTTCTTAAACATAGAAATGTTCTTACAGCCCTTTAAATCATTCGGTAAAGAATTCCACTTCTTTACGCCAAGAGACACTCATCTGCTTTAAAGTACAACTGATGCTTAACATTTCATTTGATGCTCAACTGGTTGTTAATTAACATAATACATGTTATTTATATAGCTATTTTCCTGGTGCTCAAAGCGCTTTACAAACAAGTGAAGAAGATACATAATGAGTAGAGTTGTTATGAACAAGACTTCACTTTAAAAATAGGGAACATAGTCTGAGTTAGAAATACCTCATTCTGAGTTATTTAGACACACTTATAGTTGAATGTCTTGTTACTAGGGATGGGTACCGAGCCCCGCTATTAAACGGGAGCAATGTTTTGACAACAAATCCATTAAAAAATGTCATCTGTGGAAGAAAAAAGTACAACCAATCCGGCCCGGCTAAACGGATTGGATTGCCGCCCTGTCTGTCAGCCTTCCATCTCGTGCACGCACAAATGTATCTCGTGCCGTCATTGAGCGTGCCCTCATTGGACGTGCCCTCATTGGGCGTGCCGTCATTGGGCGTGCCGTCATTGGGCGTGCCCTCATTGAGCGTGCCGTCATTGGGCGTGCCGTCATTGGGCGTGCCGTCATTGGGCGTGCCGTCATTGGGCGTGCCCTCATTGAGCGTGCCCTCATTGAGCGTGCCCTCATTGAGCGTGCCCTCATTGGGCGTGCCGTCATTGAGCGTGCCGTCATTGGGCGTGCCCTCATTGAGCGTGCCCTCATTGGGCGTGCCCTCATTGGGCGTGCCCTCATTGAGCGTGCCCTCATTGGGCGTGCCGTCATTGAGCGTGCCGTCATTGGGCGTGCCCTCATTGAGCGTGCCCTCATTGGGCGTGCCCTCATTGGGCGTGCTGTCATTGGGCGTGCATTGCGCGTTCATGTGTGTTGGAGGAGGTGCTCTGTAAGGAAGTCTGAAGGAAGGGGCGGATTCTTTTCGGCTGTGTACTTTCAAATTTTAGTGCACTCGGGCCGGTTTCTGAAACGTACCTACCCCACCTTTAAGGTTTCAGCTATTCTGTCATCAGATTATTTAATACGATTTGTTAAATCATTGTTGTTTCTTTTGATGTGAAATATTATGTATTTAATTTAAATAAAAAGCAATGTTAGTTTTGTTCACAATTTGTTTAGTTTGTTTACCTTATTTTTTTCTCCAAAAGAACCGATAAGATTACCGTTAAAAGACCGGACCGATAAGCGGTATCGCCGTTAAAACCTTACCGTTACCCATCCCTACTTGTTCCATAAGAATAGATCATATGTGTTAAATGTTATTAAGGGAGAATCACTATTCTTGTGGTACTGCTGCCTTATTAGGCCCATATTGAGCAGCGCATATTAAGACCAAACTCATGAACAACAACTTCCTTACAACAAATCAGCCCTAATTCGAGGGTTATTGAGGAAAAACTCTCAACTAACGGCGTATTACTTGTAGAATCTGGTCATGCAGAATAAGGCGTTAATACGTGTTTGATAATGACTAATAACGAGCCAATAAACTGATAATATGCACGTTAACTAGTTGATGGTGAGTTTGTGTTCCTGAATACAAAGTGTTACCCAAAGTGTTTTGTATGTTTTCTGGCTGCATTCTGTTTTTGCTTCAAAGCCGTCTGTAATTCTGTGAAATCTTTAAATGTTAACAGCCTTGACTTTTGACGTCACAGAAAGAGCCGGTTCCTCCTGGAGAGAAACAGGAAGCACATTTCCTCACCGCTGCCACCGGGATGAGGATCTCCACAAAGAGTCCAGCGAGAGCGTGCTTTATGTCCTTATCCTTCACCTCCAGGAAGTACTGAGCACACTCCTAGAAAGACACACACACACGTTGGTGAGATACACAGATACACACACACGTTGGTGAGATACACACACGTTGGTGAGATACACACATTTAACAACACAGAGGAAACGCAGACACTTTAAGAGACATGGAAACTACTGGAGAAGCTGTGCCGGTGTAAGGAGGAGCTGCTTTCAATAACAAATACAGATTTATTAGTTTATTAATTAAAATGAAATGTGTTTGTGCAGCTATTCATTTATTATTTAATTTGGTCATTTATTTATTATATTGTCAGCTCAAGTGCTCCGTATGATTCAACATAGATATTAAATAATACAGTCATGTTTCCAACCCTCAAGCAGCTTTTAAACAGTGTGCATGTGATCTTTAAAAGCTCAGACTGTCCTGAAGAGCCACACACACACACACACACACACACACACACACACCATTACTCATGCAGCTTTAGTGTGAACAAAGGTGCAGCAGTAAAATACAGACAACTGTCTGCTGTAATTTCACACACACACACACACACACACACAGGTATATACTTCGACACACACACACACACACACATCTGACTCTAGAGCTGCGTTATTAAAGATTTTCTCCGAGTGCTTCCGTTATTTTATAGAACAGGATAAACAGCAAAGGGTAGCAAGTGGGATTCAAATACTACAGATACAAATACTACAGATACAAATACTACAGATACAAATACTACAGATACAAATACTACAGATACAAATACTACAGTCATGTTTCATCCAGCAACGTCTCAAAACACAGATATACATTTACACTCAGTGAATAAAGGTGTGTGTGTGTGTGTGTGTGTGTGTGTGTGTGTGTGTGTGTGTGTGTGTGTGTGTGTGTGTGTGTACCTGCATGAACTGGAAGGAGGCCTCGAACTCCTCCACCGGGTACATCTTGACCCTGAAGAACTTCATGCCCATGATGAGGCTGATGATGCTCTGCACCACGTACGGACTCTGCTCCTTCTGACGCAGCTCCTTCAGCTCCGTGATGAACTTCTTCCTCACCGCCTGGAACCTACACGCACACACACACACACACACACACACACACATATGTTAACACACACAGGACACACATACAGATATGTTAACACACAGGACAAACACACATACACAGATATATGTTAACACACACAGGACACACACACACACATATGTTAACACACACAGGACACACATACAGATATGTTAACACACACAGGACACACACACATATATGTTAACACACAGGACAAAACACACACAGATATATGTTAACACACACACACAGGACAAAACACACACAGATATATGTTAACACACACACAGGACAAAACACACAGATATATGTTAACACACACATATATGTTAACACACACACACAGGACAAAACACACAGATATATGTTAACACACACATATATGTTAACACACACACACAGGACAAAACACACAGATATATGTTAACTCACACAGGACACACACACAGATATAAATGCATCTAGAGAAAACACATTTATACATTGACGCACACCTCTACACACAGGTATATACTCCTACACACACCTCTACACACAGGTATATACTCCTACACACACCTCTACACACAGGTATATACTCCTACACACACCTCTACACACAGGTATATACTCCTACACACACCTCTACACACACAGGTACAGTGGGGCAAAAAAGTCAGCCATCAATTGTGCAAGTTCTCCCACTTAAAAAGATGAGGCCTGTAATGTTCATCCTAGGTACACTTCAACTATGAGAGACAGGATGGGGGGAAAGAATCCAGGAAATCACATTGTAGGATTTGTAATGAATGAATTGGTAAATTCCTCTGTAAAATAAGTATTTGGTCACCTACAAACAAACAAGATCTCTGGCTCTCACAGACCTGTAACTTCTTCTTTAAGAGCCTCCTCTGCCCTCCACTCGTTAACTGTATTAATGGCACCTGTTTGAACTCGTTATCAGTATAAAAGACACCTGTCCACAACCTCAAACAGTCACACTCCAAACTCCACTATGGCCAAGACCAAAGAGCTGTCAAAGGACACCAGAAACTAAATGGTAGACCTGCACCAGGCTGGGAAGACTGAATCTGCAATAGGTAAGCAGCTTGGTGAGAAGAAATCAACTGTGGGAGCAATTATTAGAAAATGGAAGACATACAAGACCACTGATAATCTCCCTCGATCTGGGGCTCCACGCAAGATCTCACCCCGTGGGGTCAAAATGATCACAAGAACGGTGAGCAAAGATCCCAGAACCACACGGGGGGACCTAGCCAATGACCTGCAGAGAGCTGGGACCAAAGTAACAAAGGCTACCATCAGTAACACACTACGCCGCCAGGGACTCAAATCCTGCAGTGCCAGACGTGTCCCCCTGCTTAAGCCAGTACATGTCCAGGCCCGTCTGAAGTTTGCTAGAGAGCATTTAGATGAT